TCAGAGCCCCCAATCCAACTTTTCTACCCGATCCATCTTCTCTTCCGCCTTTCAGAAGCCCTAGCTGCTTCACCGGGTTCCGTGCTCGAATTTTCCGGCGACCGGAAATGTATAGTACGGCGTCGTCTCACGAGGAGTAGGCCAGGGCTCCGAAGAGGAAGGCGGAGGGGGTCAGAGATGGGCGGGTCGGGTCGGGCGGGAGAGGGTTGGGAAGGGGGAAGCGTGCGAGCATGCGAGGATGGGGGCGCTCAGGGGATTCTCACGCGTGCGAGGTGCGAGCGTGTTTGGGGGATTTTCTGGCACGAACGAGGCGTGCGTGGGTGTAAGCATGCGGAGAACGGGTGCGTTTCACGGTTTGGGCGTGAGGCGTGACACGTGTCGCACGTGCCGAGAGCGTGGGCTGTGGGGACGTCAAGGACACGAGATTTGGGTGTGTCCTGATGTGTGGAAGAGGAATCACGTGAAGTTGCAACTTGCAGGACCGTTGTCAAAGTGAATGGTAATGACTCTGAGCTGTTTACGTGAATGATTGTTATTTGTTGATCATGATATTATTAGATGATTATGATGTTTGAGGATGGACGATGGTTACTTTTGAAAATAATTTAGAAAAGAGAGAAAATTGAATATTTTCAAGTGCTGATAACAATTATGTTTATCAATTGATATGACGTTTTAAAATGAAAGATATAATCACATAATAAGCCGTTGAACATTAAGTTTTAGGATTATTAGCATTTATCCTTCGTTATATGACATTTTAGGATGGATTATTAGTTGTAGATTATGAAATGCTAGAATGATCATCATTATGAATCTTTCTTGACTTTTTCTTGTTTTTTTACATTTCGAAGTTTATTTATGTTTCATTTTCTGCAATGTAAATCCGCTTTTCAGCCCAAAAATCTCTTTTATAAATGTTTGTAGTCTTGACTCAATCATGAAGTGATTACACTCAATTTCTGCTTTCATTTATATCTTATTTTTGTTTACAAACTTAGGCAAACACATGTTCACATTGGTTTCTAAGTCTTTGTTAATCCATTCTCTTTTTGCTTTCTATCAGTGCCTTATACCTTGCAATTGCTAGTAGAACAAGAAACAAAGAACCTAGGATTCCATTGTAGCCAATAATTTCCATATGTTGCCTGTAAGATACAATATCAGATTGTCATTAATTTGCCCATGATAATTGCTTAAAACCAGCAATAAAAGTATGTTATACTAGCTTTATACAAGTGAACACATTCAATTTCACTCTTAATCAGTATTTTAAAATAGTCACTTCGGGGCGCGCCTATGTGACCTTGGAGGTTGGGCAGGTGGCTTGCCGCCTTTGTTTTGTGGGAGTTGGCGAAAAACTCGCCTAGGATTTTCGGGGCACCGAGGCACGCCCAAGGCATGCTGAGGTAGCCGAAAACTTACTTGAAATTTGTTAGGGACCTCGAAGTCGAAGGCTGGGCTCATTGCAGCGACTGCCTTCTGGTTTTTCTTAAGTTTCAGTAGCGGCACCTTCACGAAGAAGACGGCCGTGAAGAAGATAAAATGCTTATTTTTTTTTTCTTAAGACTTGGCTAAAAAATGACGTCGTTTTGGCTATCTTTTTTTTTTTTTTTTTTTTCAAATGATTTGCCCCAGGACGACGTCGTTTTAATTTAAATTTTTTTTTTTTTGGCAAGACAAGTGACATATACTCTCTCTTAAAACATCCAAAAGAGTTACATAATTTAAACTCTCAACATGTTTTAATTAACTGGATAAAACCACAACAACTTTTCAACATGAAATGGAGACAAATTCTTGTAGGGTATATTTGGGTGAAGAACTTTCAAAAAAGATTTAGGCATAATGATGAAGAAATAAATCACAAAAAATTAGATATAAGAGATTAAAATGCAATACATGAGCATTACAAAAAATGCGCGAAAGAAATTCGCAAATTATTACCTGAAAGGATTATAGTTACGTACATTGGTGTGTATACATATAGAAATATTTACACTAATTCAGCAATTGCTTCTATGGTTCTACCATCCGAACCGCTACTTTATGCAATGTGATAATTGCTTAATGCCTGTTATTATTAAAAGCAATCTGATTCACTACTTTTTCTAAATTTTTGGCTTCTAATGAATGTCTCCCTTCAAGGTCCGTTTTATTTTATTTTATTTTATTTTTTTTTTATTTTTATAAATTGTCAAACGGTAGATTTTGTTATATTAGATATTAGATTAATAATCAACATGATTTGAACTCACATCGTCAAGTAAGGGTTCAATACCTTTCTACCACTGTGGTAAATGGTCACTTGCTCTAAGGTCATTGTTTGTTCCTATTATGCATCAATTGTTGATTTTTATAAGAAAATAAAACTGATTTTCGCATGTTCTTTTTCTCCTCTTTTAGCTTATATTTAGTGTTATTTTTTTACTCTCTTGAATTTATTCAATTTAAATGACTAGAAATAAACACGAGTATATGAAAAAAAAAGAAAAATAATGTGAAAATCACAATCACTTTCCAGATAGTTGAAATTTCATTTGTAAAACTTTTACAAACCATTCTCATTTTCCTTAGAAATTTAACAAAAGAAGAATAATCATTCAGATAACACAAAATTCCAAAATTTTGGATAGCAACCGATATGAGAGTTTTCATTATTGGGCTGCTTTCCTTTGACTGTTGAGTACCCAACATCCACGTCCACTTCAATGATTCATCTCAGTATTACGCTTTGTTTTGATTTTTTTAGATGAAACGGTAGCAGTTTATTACAATATTAAAACTTGAAACAAATATCAAAGAGAGCATTTAAGATAATATTCAAGTGGTCCTCAATACAAAGAAAGTTTAACCAAAAATCAAAGGCCAACTTGGCCAAACTAGTTGCCATCATAACGGTGGATTTGAGGGCGAGATATGCTAAAGAATAAGCAAAGGAACACATTCAGATTTTGAAATCATCCACACCCAAACATGGAGGATTGAGATGGTACTCCAAACTAAAGAAACTCCTTTTCTAATGAAAAGGTTAATCACTCCGTGAATTCGCTTCTGAGAACTTCTACGCATGAAACCTTGAATATGAACAAGATGATACTCTTCGATAATGAGTAGTGTTGACTCCAAAGAGAAATTGACAACGAACCAACTAGCATCCATACCTGAATTTTGTGTACAACAACATCTACAAAGATACTGATTATAAAAAAGTAGACTCATAAAGAGTCGATAACGACCAACATAAAATTAAAGGACTAACTAAGAGAGATGCAAATAACCTCATGAATGAGGCACCTGTTGACAAAAATATTAAGAAAAAAATAGATATGTAGCAATCCATTAGAGAATGAAGGAGGAAGGGCAGAAAAATGGGGAAAGGGGCTGCTACCGGCCCCAAGCTAAAGCCAGTGTCAGCTACTATGGAGATCTTAGATTTAGGGTTTGGTAAGAGGAAGGAGAGAAGAGATAGCGGCTAGGGTTTCGTTTATCCTTGGTTTTTTTGCTTAGGAAAATACTTAATGTTTGTTTTGCTTTACTTAAAATTCATATTTTTCATCTAATTAAAATTCATGTAGTACTTAATGAAGTGATTGTAATTGTATTGATGAATCAAAAGGAACTTACAAAATTCGGATGTTTTTTTTACAAGTTTAATGAAGAAAGATTAGATGATATTAGCTCTTCAGTAATGACCGTGTGCGAAGGTACCTATCTCCCACGTAGGGATGAGGACTATTACACCTAGAAACCCCCCGCCCCTCCCTCCTCCGCCATTTTTATTAGGAAATATTAGGAATGTAAAAGAAAATATACAAGCGAGTGGACTAAGCCAAAACTTGCCATGACCAAATGATCAACGAAACAGATAATAAGGGCGCAAAATGAAATGTCATGAGAATGGGCTAAGGCAACAAAATCCAGAACCGTAAACCACTAGCGATAAGCATAACTAAATACCCTAAATAAAGCTAAAGAATCAGCAACCTGATTTCTTTCTCAATAAATATATGTACATATAAACCGCATTTGACAAAGTCACCATAGACAGTTCTTCCATTCCATCATAAGGAACTAAGGGACAGCATAGGAACCTTGAAAAGATAATGAATAACCAACACAAAATTTGTTTCAATCCATATATGCTTCCATTCTATGACCAAGCTATATGCACAACCTCAATAAAGGCAAGAATTTCTGCAGCAACTAAACTTATAAAATTCGTATTTGAAGCAAAAGCACCAAGCACCCCACCCTTGGAAGAGCGACAGGATCCCCCCAAAACCAGCATGTTCGTTGGCACAAGATCTACCAATACTAACCTTAAGCCACCCATCCATCGACAACTTCCTAAGGATTGGAATAAAGGATGGAGCCCCAATAGAAAACGGTGAGATACCCCATAAAGACAAAATAGGCAACATTGAAGATGATGAGTTACAACTTGGGAAAAACAAGGTAAAACAGGTTGAGTCAGGGTTCGGTTTGAAGTTTAAAATCCATTCAGATAATAAGTTTGACACGACACGATCTGTTAAGATAACGAATTTGACACAAAAACAACAGGCAAACATGACCCCTTTGCGAGGTTTGATTAAAACTAACAATCATTAAGTAGTTAATCATGAGATTTCTACAATGTTATCCATCATGTTAACTATTAATTGCATTAAAAACATTATTGATCATACAATACCAATACAATCAATCGTCGCCATCTCCAATTGAAAATTGTTCAAATTGCACAAATCATTCGTGCGGTGCGAGTCATATATCAATGTCACCCGTGGACACGAGTAACATTGACATATAACACGCTTCGCACACTAATGATTTGTGCAATTTAGCCCCCGTCAACGTTTGCAACCACACAAACAACTATCGTAGCTGAGCTGATCTGGAATCACTTGCAAGTGGGGTGTTGTTTGTTTCCTTTCTCGACTCTTTTAGTAACTTCAAGCTAAAAACAGGGCTCATGACATGAGTATGCATTTGTGAGATTTGGAATGGAAATATCTTATAAATTACCATCATAGGTAACAAGTTTGTAACCACAGTTTTATCAGTTAATACACCAAACCTGTAGAATGCTATTATATTTTGTTTTACTCCTATAACACAGTATTAAATACTGTCGATTTGCACATACAGACGAATCTGAAGATTTTATTACTCTCTCTCCGAAGCAGCAAGGCCCGCGTCCGTCCCCTGAAACCGGTGTGCTGTCTATTTGAGTTGATCTAAACATCAGGAGTGGCTTCTCCTGCGTTTTCAAGTGTTAGATGTGAGACCAGGGCCTGGTCACCAGCCCAACAGAAAAAACAAGGAAAGCACTACACCATGTGAGACATATTGTCGTCTCATAATAGCAAGTGTATGTACAGATCATAGCAGCAGGGATATGATACAGATTCTATATGTGGTAATGTATCCGACAAAAAAAAAAATGCAGTAACAATTGAGAGATGTGTAGGACAAAAGAATATGCTTTAATTTTCTTTCTACATGCTGTACACGGTGACTTGCAGAGTGAAAGTCTTGTTTAAAGAACACAGTACGGGGAATTAGGTACACTATTATATAGAAAGCAAAACTCAACTTCATCGTCTGCATGCTTAAAAAAGAATTTTAACGCAAATCTTCAAATTATTTTTCCTGACATGGCTATTCATGCGGTTTGTCATACACCGCTCACATGGTGTATATGTGAGATACATTACAAAACTGTATAGCGGTGTTCCCCATGTCTTTGAGTGTAAGAAATTGAGTAAATATGAGTGTAGGGTCAGTTTGAAGCAGCTTTGATGAGAAGAAATGTGTAAATGAAGAGCTTCTACCAAATGACCCTTTGTATAATAAATGTTGATCCTGCGGCTAGAAGAAGTTACATGCTTGCACATACACACACACACACACATATACATGAGTCTAAGAATGTACGTTCGACCCTCTACATTATTTCATTAACTGGATTTCAGCTTCTTATATAAGCTCAAGTTTTAGAGAGAAGGCTTGAATTTAGAGCTTATCAGAGAACCCTGATTTTGGCTTATGCAGGGTTCTTATTCAAAGGGTGTAACCAAACAACACAACATAATAAGAGAAAAAACACTTCTGAGCGTGCAAGAGGACGTCCCATACAGTGCATTGTATAAATCATTCTTCTCGTTATAAAATGAAATATATGCAAGTCTGTGCATATGTGTGCTCATGCTAGAGTGTGTAGAAATGTAGGAGAAGAGAATCGTGTTGTCTTACAACTCTTACCATGCATTCTCTTGACAAACCGTTCGAACTCCATTAAGTTATGCCTCTCAATGAGAACTGGGCTTAATCTGAGGTAGGTAAATGCTGATAAATGTCTGCCATCTGGATCATTCCTGGGCTTAGCATTTTCTAATATCTTGTTGTAGCCTTCTCTATCAAAGCATGTAAGAGCATTCTCACTAGCGACTGGAATGTCAGCATCCCATGCAGCATTTAGCACCTGCAAACCAATGTCAACTCCAAAATCATTATAAAAACGAAGAAAATGCTTTACAAATAACATTTTGATTAAGTATTCAACGCAGATTGACATGGAGGATTTATTAACATTTCACATGGTTGCTTGCCCATGTAGTTAGAAATTTTGAAACATTTGTTTGACAGATGGAGAAAAATGAATTTGAGCAGATAAATTATTCACAAAATAACAACTAACTCAGATACTAAAGGTGCCCCCCTTCCCAAGAAAAAAAAAAGGCATATTCACTCCAAATTCAAAATGATGCTTTTCAAATTTCATCCCATCCAGCCACACGCTTTTCCAAATGTTGGTGGTTTGTATTTATTTCTTAATTTACGTACACTTATAATCCAGGAAGTAATTACATGGGTTTCTGTGCTTGCTACCTGCCAAACCAATCCCTCGGGGTCTGCCAGTGCTTCCGGAAAGCCCTGATGCTGGTCTGATGTGCGCATTTCAACACATGTGAAATTCAGGGCAGCCTCATGCTTTTTTAACATTTCTGATATTGGCACGTACCCATCACGATTGCAGGAATTGTAAAATCCAGCAGTTAATTCAGCAGGATGGCTGGCAGTCTTGTACCACCAGTGGATACCTGATACCTGCTCATAAATCATATAAAGAAACTCCACAAAACGAAAACCTGTGAAGAACTAATGTCCAAGAAGCAAGAACTGAAGAAAGCGACTCACCTTTGTAGCAATGTGTGTGCCTTCGAAAGCTAAATTGGCCAGAGCAAGTACACGATCACCATGATCAATCAAAACACGGGAGTACCAATTGAGGAAGAATCTGCCATAGTAGCTATCATAATCACCTCCGTCACGGAAAAACCCTGTCTCATGTGGTTGGGAACTATAAGAACCTGCATTATCTGGTGCTCTGGCCCAAAAGGAGTGGCCCCTTGCTTCTGCAGCCTGCGCCAGATCCTTCATCAAGTATCGGTCATAACACTGCACCAAACCAGGTTGAATCAAAGGATTTTTTCAAAGGTCAGAAAGAAGTAAAAAATCAAATGAACTACTGGCTTAAGGTCATAACCATAGATGAATGAAGGGCTATTAACTTAAAGTTCAGAAATAACTGTCAGTCCCTAGCTATCATGCATGCCACCACCTTATTAATCGCCCAGTAATGAAAAGAATTATCACCAAGGTACCTGGAATTCACCAATACCAGGATATTTCCAACCATGCTGTTCAGGATAAGAAGGATACCGTAGCTCTCCACACGGACCTAATCCAACTTCAATTTCTGATATTATTCCCTCCTCAAAAAATTCATTAAATTCAACTCTGAAGCTCCTCATGTAGTCGAAGTAAACCTGCATTTGGTTTCATTATAAATAAACAGAATAGAAATTCTCAGCATCAAGCAGTATGTCTGAAGAATTCATAAGCTTTGATTCTTATAGCATACAAATATAGGAGCTGGAAAAGGTTTAACAAAGTTTCTTTCTAAAACATGAGTGGAACATGTAAAAGAAGACAAATATAGGAGGAATGGAGCAATGGCAAACCCTAGAAATAAAAGACCAGCATAACTAAGTAATTCCAGAATACTATACCTCAACAGCAGTGCGGCCTCTTAAAACTCGCTCCTTATCAATTCCCCATGTGAGACATTCAGCATTGCGTTTCCCTTCTTTATTTGTAAAATATATATCAGGATTCTTTTGGCCAATTTCTGTCACCCAGTGAGGAAGTGGGATATATACATCATCCCCGACATTGCCTCCACATTCATGGAATGACATCACGACCTACAGCAATATAGAGTATAACAAAACATATGGTAGAAAATCCATATCCTATTTGAAATGAGATTTTAATGATAGGCAGTCTCACAAACTAATATAACAACAGAAACGTTATCAGTATATTAGCTTTCAGAATCCACTCAAGACTATTATGCCACTTACCTAAGACAATAGTCCCATTTACTAATGACAACTCATTAAAAAGGGATAGCTTAGTACAAATCACCCTGATTGAATTATCTGTATAAATCAAAGCCTTTTCAACTGTTTCAAAATAAGTATCTCGACTGACAGATTTTATTAATAAGCAACTGTCTCTTGTACAGATTGTGTATAAATGACCTATTGTATACTTTCTTTTTTTATCAACTAAAGTATACTTTATTCTCGTGAATTACTGCATTTATCTGAGTGATCCACTGCCGACAAAAGTCTCTATTTTGTTTACATCTATAACTCTAAATAAACCATATCTACAATTCTACATCATGTATCAACTAAAGTCAAAGAAGTTTCCAAGCCAAGGGAAGAAATTTTTTAACCATGTAAGGAATATATGTTTAGCGTTTACAGTGATTCATTTAAGTTAACTTCACAAACTCATACGGTGTAACCTATTTAAATAACAGATTTATGTCCAAAAGCAACTAAAGTGCATCATGTCAGAGGCAAATATGATACTTCCAGAACCATCTCAGTGTATGAGGAAGCTTAAAAGTATCAGTTCTCTATGACATAACTAAATTCGGAGATTGGTGCAGGTTAACTTAGGTAAGAACTGCACTCTCATAATTTTATTTAAAGAGTGCACAAGATACTGAAGGGAAACAAGAAACAGAATACAAAAAGAAAAGAAATATTACAACACACACCCAAAGCGAAAAAAAGAAATTCTATTATAAGCATATACTACTCACCTGTAGCTTAAGGTTAAGATCACGCACAATCTGAAAAAGTCTCTTGTAGCCATTCCAATTATATTGCTGTGGATTGTGCGCCTCTACTATTCCCCACCAGCAATCAACCATAACACCATCAACACCAACCGACTTCAACACTTGTAGTTGATTTCGCAGAGCTTGTGGCTCAACTAGCTCAACATTCATATTGATCACACCCAACTGACAGTTTCCCCCAATGTGAAACACAGAACAACTACAATTAGCCTTGACTTGTACAAAAAGATAGCTTCAACATGAAGAAAAATAAAAACAAAAACTTGAACAGCAATTTTTGTTCACAAGTCTCATTGTGATTTGAACGGTTCAAACCCAACAAAGATATGTATAATTTCTAAATTGTTAATCTGGCACATTCACACATTGAAACATGATATCACTTAATTGACAATATCAATTAAAAATCTAACAATTTGACAAGACAATGATTAGAAACCAAATACAAACATACCATTTTATGTCGCTGGACAGTCTTTTATAGAGCGATATGTTTAATTAGGATCACATTTTCATATATGATTTCACTTGATCAATTTTATTGATTGAATATTTACAACTTACAGTTCACAATAGCAAATTTCATCTATACACATAGTAGAAGTGAGTGCTTCAGAAACTCACCGGTAACATCACATACACAGGAACATACGGCGTGCCAGTAAAATCACGCTCCTCAAACTTTTCAGTTGAAGAATCTTCAGCCTATCATCAAAACCAGAAAAAGTTTCCAAATTTCACCTTAATCACTGCGTCAACACAATTCTTCCAAACAAAGCACCCCAATTAAATTTGAAAAATGAAAGTTTAAACAGACTAATCATATACTCACCTGATTGCGGCCAGCATTTTCCACAGGATCACCCACCGCAGTCCCCTCAGCACTGTCTCTTGCCATGGCGAAACTCCGAGACCGATCACTCCCCAATACTCTCAAACGACAGGAATTGAGCTCCGGCAAGCCCCGAAACCCCGGAGTGATCTTAAGGGATGCTACCGCAGTCTGTGTGCAGGACGAAAACCAAGCCATTGTCGTCGCCTTGCAACAAGCAACTGGCCTGCGCGGCGCCCTCAGCGTACTGGATACTTGAGGAGCCGAGAATTGTGCCATTTTCGAATTGTGCGGAATCGGCAGCCACCACTGTTACTCTGTAGGGAACTTCTCAAGGGCAGTGGAGTGGCGGTGTAAGGCGATTTTCCTTTTCATTTTCCGGAGTTTTCCGGGAACCAAACAGGTGGAGTGGCGGGGAGAGAACTGTGACCAGGTTTTACGGATCCAAGATACGGTTATTTCAGCTCTAACACTAAAAGTTATTTTTCGCGGGTATGAGCGCTGACGGATGGACGGTCACAGACCATCATCCACCGCACACGTCATTAATTGGGCAGCAGCTCTTCACATCTAGACTTCAATTGATGTGTTCATATGTCATAATAGCACACTAACAAAAAATTAAACGGAATTAAACTGCAGGTACAATATTGGTGTTCTCGATCAAATCTTAAGAACAACATTGATTGATTTTGAAAGTGAAAAACCAAAATGATGCATTGGATAAATTAAACGGAATTAAACAACATGTACAATATTGGTGTTCTCGATCAAATCTCAGAAACAACATTGATTGATTTTGAAAATGAGAAACCAAAATGATGCATTGGGTCAATAACACGGCCAACATAAATTGACTTTTAAATTAAGAGACCATGATGCCTTGGATCAATCTCAATAGGCTATTTGCAATAAAAATCCCTTTTTTTTTTTTTTTTTTTTCAAAAGCTCCATAAAGTCAACAACTTTCAAAACAAGTAGGATTGAAAATAAAAAAACACAATTAATGCTTTTATTTTGATGTCGATGTTGAACAATGACTTGAAGTCATCTATCATTCTCAATAAATAGTGATAATATAAATATTATAAAACAAAAGCATTATGTTACTTGGGAGGTTTTATGTTCAAATCTCCTAATAAGCATTATTTTGTATTTTTTTTGGTAGAATATTCTGGTGGTAAAAAACGAAAATAATTTGATGACTTGTGTTGGAGACCTTTTGATGAAGTTGGATTTGGGCACAGATGAAAACTCTCAGCTCTCTAGTTTGTTTTTGGTACCAAATTCTGAAATACTTCAAAAGAATTAGCACATCTTAAGAAGTATTCCAGTTGAATCGATGGCTCTGATTTAACAATGAATGAATGATTACCATAAATTGTAACTTTCCTAAGTGAATGATGACATGGAAGCTAAAAGTTAATTGTTTTAGCAAATGAGATAGAAGTTGTGCTTGCTTGTAGGGTTTAAGAATAACTATTCCAGTAGTCTTTGCAGTGACTAAGGAAGCTTAAGTGAAGCTTAAGGAAATCCTCAGAACATAAGGAAAGCTTATCCTTCGAGAACTAGGGTTTCTTGCACTTTAGTTCTTGGTGCGATCTTGTCTTAGTTCCCCTCATTTCCCTCATTATTGTCTCTTTTCATCACACTGATTTCTCCAATTTATAGAGATCCCTTCAAGTTCTAGCTTGGGAATCCATTGGTTTCCTCTCTTACTCCTCCTTTTGCTAAGTCTTTCTTTTCCTTTTATTGGTTGTAGTTATAGGTTCCTTTTTCGTATAACATTGAAGAGAGTTACTAACCTCGGGTGGAGCACACTGCCCAGGACGTCTTTTTCGAGCACCAGGTTCCATAGTCTCCATCTTTGGAAATGCTCTTCCCTGTTTTCTTTCTCATTTTCTTGTATGAGCTTGGAAGGGAAAGGTTCTTTCTCTCTATTAATGGGGCGCACGACTTTAGGTTGAATTTGATCCCGTGTATCATTCAGGCAACTCAGTTTTAAGTTTTGGTTGATTCAATATCCTATCTGGTTTGTAACGGAAGGGGAAAGTTGGTCTTTTCGCTCTCAAACTTGCAAAAGATTATAAGCTTGGACTTTTGGTGCTCTCAAGCAACCCAAGTCTTCGACAACCTGAGTTCCATGTAGTTGTTAGCTTCTGTAAACATCCACACCGCAATCCACTTGGCAAACCCCAATATGTAGCTTGGGCCCACTTAAGCATGTAGCATGATTGACATGATTTGCTAATAGCATCAATATCATAATATGACTTGGCATGATAAATGTCCATAAATTGCATAGGCTTAGCACAATTATACAAATGTTCAATTTATTAAATTATTGTTTTATTAGCGTGCTTGATTTTAAATTCACACACCCCTCATTTCACACTTTTGTAGAAATTTAAGATTGCCTTGTGACGCTTTACAATGATTGGCCCTTGAGTTACAATTGTGCTTTGTAGGTGAGATTTTTGGGCCTTAACAACCAGATTGAAGTTCTGGTAGTTGGACAAATTTCTAGGAGAATTCTTGTGAAATCTCATCCCTGGAATTTCATTATTTAATTTATGTATTTCGTATCTGTACGATTTTATTTAATTATATTTTAGATAATTTTAGAATTTTAATTATTTAGTTACAAAGTTTGATTTTCATAATTATTTAGTTACAAAATTTAATTATCAGGGTCACACTTAGTGTTTTTTAATATAGTTCGATTCCTCGAGTGCGTAGGCGAAAACTGTTTGCGAAATGGAGTTGAAACAAAGAAATTAGAGGCATTTAAAATAAGGGTTATTATAAAAGGAAACCCCCACTTTTTGGAGCGAAACGAATTAGAAATAGAGGGAAGGTAGTGAACCAATGGGAAGGGAGAGAAATGAGAGAAGGGAGAGGGGAGAAGAGCATCGCCCAAAACCCCTTGACCCGTGCGACCCGACTCGTCTGTGACTTTTCCGTCTATTTTTCTGGCGCTCTGAGGCTCACCACCACCTAGAAACTAACCATCATTGTCCCTCTTCCATTTCCACCTAAACCTCACTTGGTTTAACCCCAATTTCATGAAGGACGAAACTCGTTGATTCCGAAGGTGCCACGGTGGAGATCCGTTGATTTTGAAAGCTACGCCAATCACCACCACCATCAATCCACTCTTCCTGAGCCCAAGAACAAACCCCAATCAAGTTTGGGGGTGGCGGAGCACCGGATAGGACAAATCTAGGTTCACCAACTTTAGGGTTTTCGGCAGTTTGTGGGAATTTTAGGAAACTTTCCGCAAAAATTAGGCTTCCTCACAGGTATAAAACTTACTCCACTCATCACAATCTTCATTTTGGTGTAATTTGAAAAGTTTTGGAGTTAGGTGAATTTTTCAACAAATCAAGGTGGCTAGCAGCAGCATGCGGCGGCGCGTGACAGTGGCACGTTGCCCGATGACCCACTTGATTCTTTTAAGCCACATTTGATGCTTCGGTTCCATATTTGACACTGGATTTATGAAATTCTGCCATATAAACCTAGTTTCTTTAAGGTCTACCACTTGACCATTGTAGAGAACAATGATCCGATCGTTGGATCATCACCAAACTTTAGTATGTTGTTGTACGTAATATTTAAGTATCTTAGGAACTTATGGATAAAAAATCCAATGGACGAATCTTCCTAATTAAATTACTAGGGATTAACTTTGGTCAAAATGATCTGAATCATTCTTAAGTATTAAAATTAGCATTACTAGAGAGCCAGTAGAGCCCAGCGGGCCTATCTTGGTTAGTGAGCTATTGCAGGTGATGTGCACCTCGATTTACAAGCAAGTGGCACCTTATTGTGTTATACATGTTTATTGAACTTCTAGATAATACTAATGAGATGTACAATTGCTAGTATAGAAATGTAAGCCTGAAATCTTATTAGAAGTATTATGTAGAACATATATGCTTGTATGACAAGATAGTTAGTGGCCATGAGAAGTTGATAGTGCAAGTGGCTACATTGTAAATCATAGGGGTTAAGGTAGAGGTAAGTTATGTGTTGAACTAACTGCACCATGTAACAGTGGAACATGGATGGTCCTGCTTGGTATATTCGCGATAGGGGACCACGTATTATAGGGGTGATCATGCTTGGTATATCCGCGACGGGTGATCACCGCTTGGACGATTAGACTATGTTTATGGTTCTGCTTGGTTTATCCGCAATGGGGGACCATACGCATTCTAAGAGTGATCGTACTTGGTATATCCGCGATGGAGGATCACTACCTAGATCTATAAGATACAGTCATGCTAGCTATATCCACAATGGGGGATTGTACATATGTTAGAGGTGATCATGCTTGGTATATCCATGATGGGTGATCACTGCATACGTTATTAGACTATGCATATGGTTTTACTTGGTATATCCGTAATGAGGACCATACGCATTATAAGAGTGATCATGCTTGGTATATCTGCAATGGGATATCACTTCCTACCTAGGGTTAGGAGGATTAGTTATACTTGGTACATTTCAATAGGCGATCATATTTTAGTTGGATTTAGTTGAGTAGTCAGGAATTCCCGCTCTTGCTTATTTCCATAAAGTTAGTCCGGAACCCTAAATTCGAGTGAATGAGAATTACTTATAGTAGACATAGTGTTTATAAATTATTTACCATGTCATTATAAATTTTGTGAAATGATATGTGATCTTGTTGATTGATTAGCAAAGTTAAATGTTAATATTGTGCATCTTCGATTCATGGAATTGTTTATTTCAAGTGATTGTTGAATGATGTTGGATATGATTGTTATTATTATGATCAGATTAGTTGATCAATGTGACTAGAGAATTTTATTGTGTTTTGTTGGTTCTTTGAAATGTTACATGCTATGGATTGCGATATTATGTTGAAAACTTAGTTATTTATATGATTGATGAAATGGAAATCTTGAACGTCATGTGGGTTCATTATAAAGCCTGAATATAGTAATTCATTCTTGTCAAGTCCCTATAATTGACTGAGGATTGTTATGCCTTTCTATCAAATTATATTGTGATAAGCGTCGAAGTTTAGTGAATGGTGAACTACAAATGACTTGATCCTTATTTATGGTACGTAGACAGTCTAACATAAAGGTTAGATGCAGCCATGAAATAAAAGAAACTTATCGACAGTGGTTGAATTATTGGTTGTGTTTTGGTCTTGTCTTGGAGGTGAGACATGATAGATAAACAGGGATGTGATGACGTCACGTGTCGATCTTGGTCATATGTTGGGATTGGGGCATGACAATTCTGGTGGCTGAAAAATTTCTAGTGACCTTTTTGAGGGAATTAGCTATGTGGGCTTTGAGATTGTAATATCCTTATAATTGTCTTGGCCCACAAAATGTGACTAAATCCAA